GAAACAAGGTGAGGGAATGTAACAACCTAGTGCTGCTGAAAGAGAGTCATCCTGCAGTTTCCTGCCCTTTTTTGGTTGTGCAGGCTTGACAAAGGGGTCCAAATGTCTGCTAAAGCAGACAAGGGAGAGCAGACCATGCTGGAGGCAGATGGAGGGAAGGCAGATAGAAAGGAGGTATTCCTCTTTTGGCAACAACAATCTCTTATGTTACCTTAACCACATGTCACACAATTACTGAAATGTTCCAAATTCTAGCCTATGCTTTAACATGTATACAATTTTTTCCTAACTGCCTGGGAAACTTAAAGAACTTTTTGCTACATCTGCAAGCACAGGTGAAAGTCATGAGCTGCTTGGGCATCCCTAGGGTTTCATTCCATATTAGCTAAATCTGTGTTTTGTACACACATGGTTTCTTGGGGGAGGCTCACCTTGAGAGTATTGGTTGTATTACAGCTGGATTCAGGTACGTCTATTATCCCCTTTTTTTGCTTTCCAACATCCTTACAATGAGCAGATGGATTATCTACATTTGCAAGAGCTGTTAGTTCCTGCACACATGCAGAGATAATGATATCCTATACTGCTACACTTTGTGGTTTCTGCTACTGGTAGGCTGCTTGACTTGTGTGTTGGGCTTTTCAGATAGTGGCAGTGGACTATTTGTGAGGAGATTTTACCTCTTTCATAGACGGACAAATTAAAAAATGCATTAGAAACCATGACAAGAATAAAATACAAATAAATGGTGCCATGGTTTACCCCCAGCCAGAGGCCAAGAACCACACAGCTGCTCACACTCCCTCCTCCCCACTTCTCCTGCCCTGGTGGAATGGGGAGGAGAAAGAAAAGTAAAATACATAGGTTGAGATAAGAACAGTGTAATAATTGAGAACAAAACGAGATAAAATCTAATGGATAATAAAAAGGGAAGGAAAAACCAAAACCCAAAAAAACAAAACCGGTGAGGCACAATACAATTGCTCACCACCCATGGATTGATGCCAGCCCCTATTCCCAAGTGTGGATCAGGTCTCTCTGGGTATTCCCCTCCCTGTTTATATACTGGGCATGATGTTCTTTGGCTAGTTCAGGTCACCTGTCCCAGCTATGCTCTCTCACAGTTTCTTTTGTGTACCTTCTCGCTGGCAGAGCATGAGACACAAGAAAGAAAACATCCTTGATTTAAGATAAACACAACCTAGCAGGAACCAAAACATCAGTGTGTTATCAACATTGCTCTCATTCTGAATCCAAACACAGCACTGTAACAGCTACTGAGAAGAAATTGACTCCATCCCAGTCGAAACTAGCACAATCATTGAAAGGTACTACTATTATTATTATTTAATAGATGCTACCTTAAACTTCAATATTCTTTACTGTTCACATTTTGCCTCTTCCTGGTAAGTGTAATGACATCTTTGTGTCATTACACAAACCATTGTGTAAATTCCCATTTGGATCTATCAGCAACACATAATACTAACATCTGCAAAAAAAGAATAAAGGGATACCATTTTATCTAAAAACTGAGTTTCAGTGAGGGCCTGGGAGACTGACACAGCCATGAACCCAGTCTCTCTAAAAGAAAATCAAGTGTTTCTATGCAAGCCTAAGTCCTTTAGCAGACAATGACAAGGAAATACACCTTTCCTCATACACACTGTCTCAATCCTTGCTTGGAAATGGCAGATAACTCAGTGCAATGAACAACAAAGCACCCCAAAATAAAGCAAGTAAGCAAAGTACTGACTTGGAGGCTCCATAACCAAATCCATGTTATACTATAATGTCTTGAGAGGAAGTTCCCTTTATATAGGAAAACAAAAATCAAAAATTACAGTTTTTAGGAGACTATACAAATTCTGAGGTTTGCAGACAGTTTCTCAGTGGGACTTGCGATTTCAGTGCAGCAATTTTCAATAAATACATCCTAAGCGCCATCCCGTGGGGACACACAGTCTGGCAGTGCTCACCCCTTACCAGGCTCCAGGGCAGGAGAGCTGTAATTAACACGGGGGGGCTCCTGATCGAAGAAGCAAATTCGTAACAAGAGCACTTCCTTTACTTGAAGCAATGAAGCCACTCCACTTTCCATTAGAAATAAAATTGCAGCTGCATTAAGCAACATATCCTCCTCTCAAAAACGATAATGAAAGCCAATATCAGTGATGATATTCATAATGAAAAATGAAAGAAGGTACTGAAAGCCATAAAAATATTATTATTACTAATAATATAACTATTA